AAGCTGCCCGTCTCAACCCACAACCCGCAAGCGGTAGGCGCGACCGACTTTGTGATGAGTTTGACCCTTTATCAGCTCTATTACGGTTGTTTCATGAATTGTGAAAGCAGGCTCTTCATGTGTTGAGCTATCACCGTGAATTTCAAAAGTAGTGTTATGAGGCTGTTATAAAATTTCAGGATGTGTGGCATGGATCTAATCTCAAATATATGTACTCTTGAATTAGCTGAGCGAATTGAAAGTGTTACATGTAACGCGGACTCTGAGAGTCAGAGCTTCGTCTGTGTAGGTGCACGGTGTCCTTGTTCGCAAAAAAATGCGTCTTTGTTACTGTGTAGCAAGCAACCCACGTGTACCACAGACTTTTCTTTACGAACTCCATCATCTTCATAAAATATCAACACGTAGGTTCTTACGAATATTCATTATCACTCTATAGTGCAGTATGAAATTCGTACAGTGTACAGAGTATTTACAGTACTTACTTACCCCATAGACTGAATTCAAAACTTAGATCACGCTGGTTTATCTGGATGTACCGATTGGCAACAACGCAATACGAAGAGGAAGATGTTTTGTTTGAGCAACGGATGCCGTCCGGTTATAAGACTTTTGTCAGTTACTATTCAATACAAGATCGGCTTCTACTCGTGAAAATTATTTTCTTGCAAGCTCAGTTGCGTTTAATTAGCTGCTTATTAAACTGCTCTGAACTGCCTAAGTGATGGCTAGAAAACGCTGCAACCAGTCAGCCTACTCGACCTTGGGAGCTTTCTTGCGCTGTCGCACTGTCTTCTCCTTCTCGCCACTGACCACTGCTTTTGTATCGTCCTCTTCATCATCGTCTGCTCCGCTGTCCGATTTTTCAGAAACTGTTTCACTTTTCGAGGCCACAGACGCACAACACAAAAAGAACATGGCAAGTGTCGCCAGCACGGCAACTCCAGCTACTCCTCCGATAGCAAGCAAGGGGTTGGCATTGGCATAATTGGCAAAGTCCGTTGCCAGCGTTTCGAACATCTTCATAGCTCCACCGTCATTGTTGTTCTCATCAGCTTCCTTGGACTTCCCCTTCGCCTCCACCTCAACAACATGCTTCGGTAACCAAGTGAGCTCCGCAAACTTTTGTGCCTTCTTCAAATCGTTGCCGAGCCAAAAGTTGTCGAACGTTATACCGTCTGACATGGTCCACACCTCTATAGCAAGAGCACCGATCGGGTCAAGACGCGCTGGGTGTTCATCTTCAAAATAGTTGGGATTCGGGATCTTGCGGGGCTTCCACTCGCCCTTGTAAGCCGGGTTCGGAATGTACGGCGCGAAAAATTTGCCTTTGTACGCAGGATTCGCCTTTGTAGGACGTTTCCATTCGCCACAGCCAGACACATCGGCACACTTCGGGTTGGGAATCTGTGGAACCACAAATTCCCCGTCGTCTTCGTCATCCCAATCCTCAGGCTTCGTCACATCTGGATCATTGATCATGGCAGGCTCATCGTCCAGCCAGTCATCCGGCTTCGTCGCATCCTCATCCAGAATACGAGCAGGCGCCTCTTCGTCCCAATCGTCGGGCTTAACAGCGTTCGGATCACGAATTTTCTTCAGATCAACCCAGTCTTTGGGCTTAGAGTCTTGAGGATCGTCGATCTCCTTCTCTGGAATGACGGACGGCAAGAAGTTGTCCAACAAGGTGCCACTTTTTACCGATTCCTGATCGACGAATACCTCAAACGTATTGTCATCGCGTATCACAGCTGTGTAAAGGTGCGTATCCTTATCATTCTTGATACCTGGGGCCTCCATCATGTGCTTCTCTTCGTATTCACCCGATACAGGATTCTTGTGTTGAAAAATAAGATGCAACTTATCGTCCTGACCGCATTTGTCAGGGCCAAACATAAGCACAAAAGGAGTTGTGTCACTGAAGTCCGAGAAGTCCTGCTTTTCCTGCTCTTGACGCAGTAGCTTTACATAGGCGCCACCGCAGTCCAAACCATTTTGTAATTTTACCTCATACTGCACTACCATCTCTTTTCTAGCATCACTTCCATCCACCTGCAATGGCTCGTCAAGCTTGACCGCCAGACCATAGTGGTGCGCGGGCTTATCCAATACGAGACCACGGTTGGGTATCAAGTGTGCCGCTTCAAGAGTCACCTTATTAATAGAAACATCTTGATTTGCATATTTTTCATTTGTGCTCTTGAACCAGCGACTGCCATCAAATACTTCTTCGGTCTCAAACGTCTCCACAAACAAAGCGTTGTCAGTTAATTCATGCAACTGCTTCTTGCGCGCCTCTTCTAGTTTGGTGGTCTGCGTCACAGAATCTTGTTGTGCTTTGGTTGCGGCTGTATCGTCGGCCAGAGATCCAGTAGGCAACAGAGCCGCCGTAACCAAGGCCAAGATTACGTCAATCTTCATTTAGTTGGCTGTTCTTCTACTTGCAATTTAAGAAGTGCGAGTTCTAGAAGATTTAGATGAAATGACACGTAAGTTTCCCTTAAATCGCAAAACCAGTTGATGCTTTGAATTTATCGATTTGTTGACTTATGACTAGAGTAAGGACCTGAAAATTTATCAGATGAAACTCTAAAGTTGCAACACAATATAATCAACTACAAAGTTCGTAATGTATACGATAAACTTTATATCACATCTACAGTGATGATGAGAAAACGGAGCATGCATATAACACGCTATGATTGGTTATAATCTTTTGGGGGAGCTTTTGGTATAGTTAAAGATCGTCGAGAAAGAAGAGTATGGACTCCCGACAGCGCACACAATCGCCCATTGTGACGGGCACTTCAGTCATTGCGCTTAAATACAAAGATGGTGTGATGATGGCGGCGGATACATTAGGATCTTATGGTTCGTTGGCGCGTTTTACGGACCAGCGCCGGCTTACGGCCGTGCACAACACGACGCTATTGGGTGCAGGTGGCGATTTTAGTGATTTTCAATTTATCAAAGACAAGCTGGACGAGCTAGAGGTGTACGATTTTAATCAGGATGATAAGTGTGATACAACGGCTCCCGAAATTTACCATTACCTGCAGCGTTTGTTTTATCACCGCCGCAATAAATTTGATCCTCTTTGGAATACAGTTGTGGTGGGCGGTCTCAACCCAGAAACGGGCAAGCCATTTTTAGGCCAAGTCACGATGATTGGGCTTGCATTTGAAGGTGACTACATTGCTACGGGCTTCGGCCACCATCTTGGCATGCCTCTGTTGCGCAAGCTCTGGCGGCCCGATATGGAGGAGGCAGACGCGCGCCAGCTGCTTGAAGACTGTATGCGCATTTGTTTCTATCGCGACTGCCGCACAATTAATCGAGTGCAGTTTGCCAAGGTTGCTGCTGAGGGCGTCATGATCCCAGAGCCCGTCAAAATTGACACTAAATGGAACTACGCTCAATTTGTTAAAACAAAGTCGGAAGTTGGTTCTTCGTGGTAATCCAAGACAGGCGTCAACTAAAAGCTACTGAAGGGCATAAAAGCTATTGAAGGGCATACGCTGATGACCAGGGAAGGTTTCAATTTGGAGTTCACGTTGCTAGTGTTTTCATGATGAATCCAAGCTCTTCTTTGTTCACTTAGTTACGTCTCTAGAGAACTAGCAACTTCAAATTTCTTTCAAATATCGTAAAAAAATTAACATCTTTGGCAGAAGTCTTGTTCAAACTCAGGCAAAATCGCAGGTCTAGCTAGACCCTACGCCGACGCTTTGATCGATATTCCCTATCAGAGCTGTAATCACTATTCGACAAGGATGGCGAGCTATTGCTATCGTTGTCGCTATTGGTGTCAGACGAGTTGTAGCCCGTACAAGATGAAGACGAGGATGACGAGGTGTCGATTGACGAGTCCGAATCTGAATCAGAAGACGATGAAGAATCGGAAGATGATGATGAATCCGAAGATGAAGAATTGCTGCTACTGCGGCGTCGCTTACGTCGGGTACGCTTGCTAATCTTAGACTTCTTCGCGGTACCTCTTCTCTTCTTCTTAAGCGTAAGCTTCTTTTTCGATTCTGTTTTCTGATTTTCATCTTCCTGCATTTCCGGAGGCTTATCCTGATTAAAAGGCTGGCGTAGCTTTGGGTTCCGCAATTGCTGGGATCGTGACGGTCGCTGGACGTAAACCGCCTCATTCTTGCACTCGTAAGTCCAATGACCTGGTTGCAGACACTTCTGGCACAGTGCGGCGACGTTTGGGGAAGATGACGCCCCTAGTCCACGTCGATGCACTCGCACTTGATCCGTGCTAGTTGCGTACATATTTCGACGCGCCTCCTTACGCTGCGCCCACTTGCCTAGCGGCGCGTCTCCAACACCAGCCATGCTACTACAATTCTAATATGTTACTTGATCATTAGTGTAGTTTTGTCCAATAAAATAGAATCATGATTACTGTCTATGTCTAATAGAGAGATATTGTGCGTAGCATTCGGCGTGGCAATACCTCGTTCGACAGGCGTCGCTTGAGAGACAATGCCACAATCGGCGGCGTCGTGGGCTGAATGTCGGCGACGGTAGCCATAAATTGCACAGTGCTCTGCTCTATATTGGGTGCTGCATTCGCTGTTTCCTTAATAAGCTTTGCCAGTTCACTCCACTCCACATGCATCAGGGCAAGAGAGAAGCTGCCCGCTTTAAAAAGTTCCATCAAAAGGACGCCCACCCAAAGCGCAGGAAAGCCATAGCCCATCGTGATCCCACCGATATAAGCCACTGGTAAGTCAATAAGCCATGTGGCAATTGTGCTTGTCCAGAACACAGTGTGAACCTGGCTGGACGATGCAACAATTGATTGATTAGAGACCTGTAACCGATCGTTGTATATACACATCATTAAAACCAACCTCATTCCAGTTAATGCTCCAGCACCTAAAACTTCCACGGCCTCAAAGGCACAAGCTATGATAAATATGGGCAACACGAGCTTGCAAGTAGTCACTAGCTCTGTGTCCATTGTATACAGAGCGATTATGTGCTTGCCCATAACGCTAGTTAGTGCTGCAATAAAAATTGAGACAACCATCGTGCAGATAAAACCTAGACCGGTCATTCGACGCGCTAATTCTGGTCTACCTGCGCCTAAATAATTGGCGACACGGACTTGCGTGGCACAGCCGTATCCCCAAAAAAGCGCCCAGAGAAGACTCCATAGACCCGATATGACAGCATTAGCTGCGACGACTCGAGCACCAAGTTTGGCTGCTACCAAAGCTATTAGTGCGCTCGCCAAATTGGATACAAAACTATTGCTGGAAATGGGTCCAGCCACTTTGAGGTAACACTGCAATCGGCTCTGTGTAAGAGCGTGGATATTCCATCCGTACCAAGCGCGGTGGTGATAATGTTTGTATAGGATTGCATAGCTGAAGAGCGCAATGGGTTGAAACCAGGACGCCACGACTGTCGCAATTGGTGAACCGATAAAACCCAAGCCATGCCACGAACCGATGCCATATATAAGAACGTAATTACTGCCCGTTGCAACAAAAATCGATACCGTTCCGACTATCGTGGTCGGCATGAGAATCCCCATGGCTTGCAAATATTGCCTTCCAAATAAATAAAATTTAGTAAGTCGAGTGGACTGCTGACAATGCAATGTACAAGCCAAACCTGAGACAGCAGTAGACAAGTGTTGGGAGAATCGATCCAGAAACAATACGAGAAAATGTCGTGGCTAGTGCGATAACTTCGGCGTCATCTGTAGTGTACTTTAACACATAGCCAATACACCAATACCAAGCCACAACTGGCACTGAAAGCAAAACCGTGATAACAATCCCAAATTGGAGCCAAATGCCTGTAAGCTCTCGATTGCCTGCACCCCACGACTGGCCACACAACTGTCAATGTAATTACCTTGTCAGTCTCAGCAAAGCATTCAAATTGTAAATGTAGAAGCAAACCGTATTGAGTGCCGACGCAGATGCCCATACGCAGTAGAGTGCAGGATTCGTCCATAGTTGGGCAATCGAAGCTGCTGCCAATTCCTTGATACCCAAATGACCTAAAAAGATTGAGTCGATTGATAGGAGCGCAGCGCGCGCCAGTGTAGCCATACTCACCTGAGCAGCCATGTTAGATAGGTCAATGAAGTCATGCCAGGCATTCGGGTGCTTAGATCGGGTGTTGTTGGCCTTTTCGAGGAGCGGGGTTGTCTCCATTCTGTTGATGAAGCGTAAAATTAGCAGTCTTCAGTTGTGTCTTATTGTCAGTATATTTAATTAACTATGTGTCAGATTTAAGCTCTTGAGGAGTTGCCTCTCGTATGGGGTCTTCCTTGGCTTCTCATGATTTATCAGATCCACAGCTACAGCGTCTGCTAAGCGAATACGTTCATCACGTAAGAAAGACAGCTGATGACTCTGCTGTTATCTATCACAGTCTGGGTATGACCAACGATAAGCAGATTACTCCTCAAAAACCACGGTATATCGACTTGGAGGGATTCGAAGAGATATTTGGGATGCTGGTAGCGGATCCAGAACCCCATTTCCAATTCTTTTATCACGGCAAAATTGTATCTGCAGACATGAAGCCGAAAGATGATGCAACTGTATGCGTACATCGCGTATTCTGTGCAGTAGCATTGCTGATGCAAGCTAATCCCTATTCTAAAGTTGATTTCATCTTGCAATTTTATGCAAAGGATGCACAAATTTTTACGTGTGAGGCAAGGAGCGTGTTAATTCAAGATTTTGCTGCAAGTGTTTCGGAGGTTTTACAACTTGCCGATCCTATTTCAAACAGTGTGTTGCAGAGTATTCAGGTTTGTGAAAACATGAGCAAACTTGGGTACATTCTGATCATGACGTGTAAGCAGAAAGCACTATATATTGACGTACCAGAGAAGCTGATGACAATGCAGGAAATATACAACGTTTGCCTGACGAATCCTCAAATTAGTAGAAGTCTGCTTAGTGTTCATATGGTGTTTGAAGGTGAGAGTTTCGTTACTTGCATAACTACTATCAAAACTGATTATATCGATGTAGACTTTTCTTCTACTATACTCCATGAGAAGATGCGTCAACGTGAACATAAAGGTCACGATCAGCAAATGTTTATGCTTCGTGAAAGGGACATGACTCGCTTTCAATTGACCACCCAACAGATGTTTTTTGATACACCTCCTCCTGCCTCGTTGTTATGGGACTTAAAGGTGGAGAGAGGAGCTTTTGCAATCATGGTATATTCGATTTTTTTCATTCTTCTTGAACTGGATCACAGGTTGGAGATTATGGTAACATTTGTCATAATTCCGAGCTTTTGCGATTGCAATCAAGTGAAGGTTGTGCTCAAGCACTGTCAAAGATGGCTCAATACAATGCTCAAGGTGTATTGGTCGTCGAAGTTCCAGATAATGTGAGATCAGAGAAATGCCAAATACTTGGGTTTCTGTCTGCTGAAAAATTTCTTCAGTACGCTTCTTTACTTGCTTAATAGTACCGGTTTGCTCTTTGAACGCTTACACCTGATTTGATTACCTAAAGATATTTTCTTAGTTGTCTTGTTCCTGATTTACACATGCCAGCAACTAAATTGTACGAACATACTCAAGCACGCGCAGAAAAGACTATCATGGAGTTTGGCACAACGCCACTTCGTAACATTGTAGACTATTTCATTTCAGGTCAATCCTCTTTGCTGGGTATCGTTCGGGAAGACGAAACATTTTACAACGTTTTGCTGCGTTTTGCTTGCGGTGAAAGTGTTGTAGCAGTAGCTCAGGATCGCAATCCGTTGTCTGAAACTGTACTTGGGTATCTGACTATTCATGACATGCTTTCATGGCTTGACGAGGATTTAGCCCTTTTGAGTAATTGACGTAATTGTTGCGTTGATCCTGACGTAAACTTCTTACACCATTGGTTGTTACAAAATTAGAGGGCAAGGAATATTGCGCTGTCGCTATGTTTCCTCAGGTTTTTCACAATCCGGCAACGATTGATTGTGCGTCCGATCTCTCAGTATGTGAGGGGCTTGTCAAAATGGAATTGCAAAAGCTTTCAGCTATATTAGTGAAGACAAATGCGACAACGAGTATACTAAGGTACACTGCATTCATTTAGCTCACGACTCCAAAAATCTCCAGACTGATACAATGTATCTCTATATTCGTAGCGCCGACACATTTCGCGATTTGTATTTTGCATCTTTTTCTGCATCAGGCAACGACAGCAAGTCAGGTCCTTTACTTCAAACAGTGGCTAAACAAGCAGCAGCCTTGGTCCCTGCTACTTTTATTTCTCTTGATACCTCCATCGCCGTAGTCATCCGGGAAATGATCGACAAGCGAGCGAGACGCGTGATTATTCGGCGCCACGACAATATTCTGGTGGGATCTGTGCGGGCTTCTGATATTGTGCTAATGCTTCTTCAGGAACAACACACGTCACTGTATTAATCCGACTTCATCGAGTCACACTCCTTTGAAATAATACGTTATGCGAATTTGCATATCGCAGCAAGCTTTAAACGGAGACGCACGCAATGATAAAGGTCCCAATTGTTGGCTTTAATAATTGGAAATTAATGACAGCTAAGAGAAAGATGTCTTCTTATCTCACCTGGACAATAAAATTGTTTCGTCGGCCGATGCGAACTACTAATACCTTATTATCGAGAAGATCTATCGATTCAACACGACGAGATTCGCATTCAATGCGCTCGTTATTGAGATAAACGCCACCACCTTTGATTAAACGACGACACTCAGCTATAGGAAAAAAAGTCAAATTTTGCACAATCCATCTTCTGACCAAGCATGATACAAATCGCACCTTTTGACTTAGTTGCTCCTATTTTCACAGCAAGGTCCACTAAAAGATGATCAATGACATCTGCGCACGATAGAGTTTCCATAGGTGCGTCTCCGGCCATGCATATCATCGTTTCCGCACTCAACTTTTCGTTTTTCTTCCCGAAAAATAGTTCAGTAGCATCTAAAGCTACCTTTAAGCCACTTTTCCCGTGAATCATCCTGGTTACATCTTCTGCTAGAACTTTTTGGGCAGTGCGCTTTTCAGGCGCCTGTTCGTGTTCAGCTACAATGTCACGTATCTCATTCAAATCGCGAAACGTAAAGCTTTTCAGCAATGTCTCTACATAACTGTCATCCGAGCGATAAAAAAATTGATAAAACTCGAACTGAGTCAAAATGACATGGTCATCAAATGATAATGATTGAATCAAGACTGTGTATAAACGTACAACAGAAGTCTTTTGAGCATCCAGCCAGATCGCATTACCGGCAGATTTCCCATATTTCTCTCCTGATGACGTCGTCAGCAATTCTAAGGTCGCTCCGTAAGCCTCCTGTGCACGATAAAGGCATTTGTAGCACAATTTGTGAGTAATTTGCAGTACAATATTGACAGAAGCATTAACACACATCGCCCGTGCTCTTACGAATGAGCTCAATGCCTGAGGCGATGTTGCCCCATTGATCACTTCCGCCAATCTGTGCAATACAGTTATAGTTCTTGTAGAGATACAGAAAGTCGTACGCTTGAAATAATTGGTACGAAAACTCGAGAAAGCTTATTCCTTGGTCTGCATCCAAGCGTTTCTTCACGCTGTCGCGCTGTAGCATTGCATTCACGCGAAAATGGCTACAAAACGAGAGGCACTACATCAGTTGTCAAGTCCTCGACACACAAATAATTGCAGCCATCACACCGGCCAATATTCCGCATCCATGCGACTGCTGACATACTCGTGTGCCATTTCGTGTTGTTGCAGATGATGGCACCGGTCTGAGGATCATCAAAATCCAGGACGGCCGACATTCCTTTGGTGATCTGTTGCGCATTGTACGCCACTGTATCATCCGACAGCAATACACGCTCCTCTGATCTCCCACTTGGATCTCCTATCATACCAGTGGCACCACCGACCAGCAGTATTGGACGCAAGCCTGCACGCTGAAAATGGCGCAGCGCCATACCCTGAAGCAAATTGCCCAAATGCAGCGAGTCCGCTGTGGGGTCAAAGCCACAGTATACAGCAGGTCTACGCGAGCTTTGCAGCATCTTGTCAATGGATGCACCTGCGTTCTGATGGGTCAAAGCGGCCAGCATCCCGCGTTGGCGTAGTGCTGCAAAGGCCTTGCTCATGCTACAATAAAAATTGTAAAATTTGAGTGAGCCTTTTTCGCAAAAAAAATAAAAGAAATTTTTAAGGGACGCGAAAATTCGCAACAATTGGTTGCCAACTTTTCATTTCATATTTGTGAGATGCTCACTTATCCGACAATAAAACTATCGCACAAACAACAACAGGCGAGCTTTTGATATTTATAAATGAAATGCGAAGCCGATCATACATCCCTTGCATAATTTGCTTTGGACACGCTGCAGTCTTTCGGGCCAAAGCAATAGCGATCGCGGCCTTCAATAAAATCCTGGTGGAAAATGGTCTTGAAAATGGTTGTATCAGAAAAAAAGGAAAAAGCTGTGGGCAAGCTTAGTTAAGTATGTTTCTTACATTTGATATTAGAGGGCCACTTTCATAAGATTGCTGTTTGAAAATTCTCCACAACCGAACGGCAACTTTGTATATCTCTGGGCTGTGGTACGGGCGTGCAACGCATAGCGCTCAAAGCTAAAGAGCTCAGCTAGGTTCGTGAGACTGACAAGCAATCCAAGCCTACATATCGTTGACAAGGTTCAGCAAGAAAATGCGCAATATATAAACTTGTTAGTAAGATCAACACGTGAGCTATCAATCTAAGCATTGATTCGAAACTGCTTCTCAACCCTGATGACTTTGAATCAAATTAAACCACGTGAGAGTTAATCCGAATCTGCATCAACTTCGCCAGTGCAAGACAAACCTACATATGTCGCAAGGTTAATGAACGTCATATCTCGTATCCTGTGTCGTCGGCAGACTCGTTGATATTGCGGCAACATGCATGGCCACTATTCGGAATCGACCGGCCAAGAAAAGCTAATTCGATCCTTTGGAAAAGGCTGTCACGATTGCATTATACGAACCCTTGACCGCAAGTCAAGCTCATAAATACGATTCACGAGCTCGAACAGCCTCAAAGTCAAGATCCTTAAAGTTCATCGATCTTTCGGTCGTGCTTCAACAACGTAAGCCCTCGTCTCATAGTCGGTTTGCATTTCAACTTAATCAAGCTTAATCGTATCTCTTACGATTGTCGTGCAGCGATACCAGCGACCAGTGCTCATCGCCGTGCTGATGATATTATCACTATGCGATGGTTAAAAGTATCGATTAAGTGCCCTTCTGTAAGCTCAAAAACGTGGCGTGTGGGTAGCTTTATTTTCAATTGAAGCAGAATAAAACGCGCACTAAATTCCTCTACAGACCGAATGTCCAACAAGTGGGTCACACTCGATGTGAGAGTGGTCAATACGGATGATGCAATGACAACTCTGCTGGATTGCAGAGCAACGAGAAATTCTTATTGCTCGGTTATATAGTTACTATTTCGAATTTGACGTTGATGAGAACAGTGTAACGATAATTTGATTGGTGTTCTTAGCAGTATAAATAGAGATATTTGCCTCTGCAGCAATGTGTGGTGGTCCAGTTAGTGTTAAATGACACGAGTCGAGTACTCAGACTCCCAATCATAATTTGTTTCACGTAGCGGTCAATCATTCAATCTCAGCGTGTAACGGGGTTACACGTACCATTGTATGAAAGGGCCATTCGTACTGGTTTTTCTAGAAAACGTAAGGTTGGTGACGTTCGCTTAGCTTCCTTCTAAGCAGAGGCGCTGGAAGCGCGGTTGAGTAGCACCGTCACTGTTCGCTTAGCGACAGGGATATATGTCACTGTACCGAGGGTCCCTGTGGATCTCGGTGTTAAGGAACGCTGTTTTGTCTTAGACTTGGATGCAAGGTATGACCTTATCCTTGGTATGGCATGGTTGGACGACCATGATCCATGGATCGATTGTAGATCGAAGACCTTAGACTCTACGCGCATGTTTCCTGGTGGAGCTTTTGTGAGTCATGAGCCCACCTCAGCTAGGAAGCAGAAGCGCTATTTGCGCGGGAACTGGACTGGGACGGTCAATGAGCTAGATATCGGAGTATCCGAGTGGTCAAACACCAAACGTGTTTTGGACAGGAGACTCGCGGGCTAAATGTGGAGTAGCAGTAGGGCGTCCCGTGCATACTGGGTTTTCTCGTCTCCCTCGACAGACGGGTTAGAAGCAGGACGTCGGTTCGACAAACCTTTACGCGCCTTGCGCAGGGGACAACCAATCCGAAGGTGACGGGTGTCTGCGCAGATAAACAAGTTTCATTACACTTTTAAGGGTGAGTCCTATTTACTGCTACCTAAACTTTGGACTAGATATGTATTTGCAGCTTTTCTTTGGGGCCGAAATATCGGTCAATCAGTATACTGAAACCAAGTCAAAATGTAAACATGGTATAAGCAGCTTTGACACGTTGTCCGTTGTATGCTTGGGTGTCGTGTGGCTCAGCGATCGATAATTGGTGTGGGATCAGTTTGGTCCCTGGATCAATTCCGGTCGCCATGAAATCATGGTAAATTAATTCCCGACGGTTGGGATCCGAAAACTCGAAGGTTGGGAGTCTACCAAACCAAAAGTTGGGAAGCTTGGGGTAACTGTCGCGTGCAAGCGCTTCTTGGGACTGGAGACATAATCAAGGAGCAGGCATATTCCGATCTACCTTCGGTTAAGTCCTGATACAGTAAGGCTTGGAGTTTGACGGATGGAGCTTGCTTCGCCCATGTATAATTCCGCATAAGCCGTTTCAAGGAGCCGAATGTGACTACTCCCTGTGTACGAATGTTCCCGGTTGGCATTCTCGACTTGGTGTGTAGCTCACGGGTGTCTTCACAGACAAAACACCGTCGGGTGTTAACACGCTGCTCGAATGCTCGCAGCTCTCCCTCCTCTTTCTTAGCATTGCTAAGATCCATTGGCTCAGGCCCGCTCGACGAGCTCTGAGGTTGTGCATTCCAACCAATTCGTGCCGAGTTTAAGTTGAATTCGGCATTCAATGCCACGTTTACCGCTTCAAAAGAAAACAGATGCACATGGAAGACTCATCTCTGGCCACGTCAGTGCAGAGGTCCTCCATATCGACAGTCACTTCGACCGCCTCGGGGAGAGGTTCGACTACCACCTCGGCAATGAGAGTTCTCAACCCTTGGACAGCGTCCACCAATTCCTTCTTGCCCTGTCGGGCAGCAATGAAATGCAATCGTACGCGATATGCCTGGTTAGTCGGCGAGAACACTCGTCAAGCCGTAGCTTCAGCTTCGTCCAGGAAGGAAACGCCGCTTCAACCGAAGCACCGCACGCTAGTGCCCATATTCGCGCTCGGCCCGCGAGGTTGGAGAGAGCTAGTGCCACGCGCTGTTGCTCGGTCTGGAGTATGGCGGACGCCAAGGCCATTTCTACCTCTATCACCCAGAGTCGGAGATTCACTCCATTCTTGCCTTCGAAGGTCTTAACGTTCACCATAAGCGACATGGGTCGGAGGGGGGTCATTCGTTGTCGACGGTGGTGTCATGGACGCAGTCAACGCCGACATCGTCTGCTGTAAGTGCTCTAACAGAGAGTTTTTATAGCTTGGAAGCGCTTCTAGGCGCGCGCTGATCACTTCAGGTCCTTGCGTAGCGAGGTGTTGCACGCCCTCAAAGCCAAGCAGAGACATCAACTTTTTATGCCTGTCCTGCATGTCCTGGGGCAAAAACGAGAACTGCTCTATCCTCCCAGAGGATCAGTCGTTACGACGAAGGCGTAGATTGACTGCAAGTGCTAGCTGGGATGCCGCAGTTCTTTTACTTAAAGGAAGCTTGGTTAAGCTTGGTGACCTTCGTTCTATGATTAAAACCAGTACGAGTGTCGCGGATCGAAATCCACTTACTCCAAGAGTAACCACACCACAACCTTAACCTAAGGCTAATTAGCTCTTCTGTGAAAAAATCTTAACTGGATTTCTCGGTTTATTTGCGGCAAAGCCGCCTCTATCTAAATCTATAGGTTTTCCTATCTATACAATAAAATCTAATTGAATGTATAACTACTGCACGTCAGACTTGTTGTCTAAGCGCGGCCACACCATTGTGTGGTTACAAATTCTGTGTAACACACACCATCGCGTGATCACACTATGTTGAGTGAACTGCACCCTTTATTACAGGGCACGAGAAATCCCGTCACACCGTCTTTCTTATCCACCTGTATCAGTCTCTGTAAACGGCGACTCGACGATATCTATTTTCTTGTCAAATTGAACAAGTGTGTGGTCATGACATATGACAATATTGTACGTTTTTGGCGCATGCCGACGCAGCAATATGTTCCAGTGCGACCAGTGGTCCGAGGTGCGATCACTCAAAACAGTCAGATTAAACCGGTATCAAGTACTTTCCTTTCATTGCGTTCTGGTCAGATCGTTGAGCTCGACACGAGCTCACACCTGGTACAGAGTATTGAGTGATGCTACTGCGTTCGTTGTTGAGAATCAAGCTAAAGTTACCAACAATTTTTTTGGGGAGAAGGTCATGTGGAAAAATCAACGTATTCGAACTCGAGTCTGCTATTTTGTGTTATAAAGGTCGCAGCCGGATGACGCGACGTTCAAAGTTTTAATGTAATGAGCTACACGTAGCCATTATTTACATAAGGGTACATTTATACCGGAGAGTGATTTTCGATGAAATTCACCCAGTCTTCTGCATAAACCTTAGCCACCAATCTTGCCTTGTAACGAGCCACTTTGCCGTTCTGGTCCCGTTTTTTAGCAAAGAGTTAACGGCTTTCTATCGTACGCTCGATAGATCCCCTTGAAACGAGCGTCCATATTTTGATCTAGTGGTGCGATTCTAATTCGGCGCCCACCGCCTCGCGCTTCTATTTTGCCTCGTCACTAGCCATTGCTCGCGCTTGTGGGGCAGGCAAGTCCGATTCGTCACCAACTTTTACAGCGTATAAGTAAGGGATAACAGTTTCGGCTGTAAAGCTGGCCTCATCCATCTTTACAATTTTTGGGATGGTAAGCCGTCACTCCGTTTCAGGTTTCTTCGTCGACTGATTCGCTCACCAGCGTCAACATCGCTCCGCGCGCATGCTTTTGGCGCTCAATTGTGAGGTGAATTGTCAATTGGTTCTTCTGGAACGTTTCAGCTGGAGTTCGGCATATCAAGCAATCTTTCTGTCTTGTGTTGGAGCTCTCTACTCTGTTAATTAAGTTTAGAGCACATGGAAGACATCTATTGGAGCATCCCAACCCGACAATGATTCATGTTGGTTCCCTCCTCCACATAAACGTCTGGAACATCTTCTTGTTCTTCACAATCCATAAGCTCATCCAGATCTTGCTTGCGTTTTATCAGCTCGTTTGCCGCGCTTTCATCGTCATCCTGCGTCACGTGTTTTACTGAATCTTCGATTGGACTGCGTGAGTCGTACCACCTCACGCTCATCCAACTACATTGACCGTGATCACGGTACCTTGTTATTATTCGGATCGTAAGCATGATATCCCTTGGTGTCTATGGCATACCCAAGAATCATGCACCAAAGATATTAGTTTCGAAATTTGTCCCTTTCACATCACCGACGTGTGCTTACTCGTAAGATCCAACGGGCAGCGGAGCAGTGTTCGGGCTCACTGCGTTAGGGGAACGTTTGGTCAGGTACACTGCTGTGCTGACCGCTCCTGCCCACCAACAGGTCGGAGCACACTTGTAATTGATCATGCTCCTCGCCTTTTCCATGATCGCGCGGTTAATTCGCTTTTCTTAATCGTTATGCGGGGAGCTGTATGGTACCGTTCGCTTGTGCATGATGCCTCTCCGCTGACATAAGTTCGTAACCGCCTTGCTAACGACCTCCATTCCGTGATCCGAGCACAAGCTCTTGATACGCCCCCCCCATGGATTTTTGTATAGTGTTTGTACATCTTGATCTTTTCGAAAACTTCGTTAGAAAGATGTTTTATGTATCGTGAGTTATCATCCACAAACTTAAAAATATACTTAACCCTTCCTGCAAAAGTGTTTTATACCCATCACATCCCTGTGCACTATCTTCAGTACGCGTGACGTCTTCGTTACAAAGCATCTTGGGAATGCTTTGATCGTCATCTTTCCCGTCATGCAGAAACAAATAAGGTCTTTATGCCTTGTTTCAGCGCATGCATACGATCAGTGGAGCGCAAGAACTTCATCAAAGCTTCTTCGATTGAGTCCCCCATGCGAGCGCGCCAAAGCTCCCACTGACTATCAACCCTTGATTATTGCACCGATTGTGCCTCCTCTTGCTGACAGTCTAGCGTGCAAGCCTTACCGCTCCTTGTCTTAATTACCATAGCACATATTATCCTGAACGAATTACGACGCAGCCTAAAATTGCACGTTCGGCAAGCTTTCCTCCTGACACTAATCATCTGTCAAGTCCGGGGATAAGCAGCACTTTATCATGAATATGCGTCTTCCATCTAAGTCAATAAATTCCACCGTTCGGATATTACAACTCTTGGTTACCTGTAGTATGCTATCGGTACCTCGATGCTGGCTTTTAAACGCTTGCATTCGACTAATTCGCTCCGGTGAGGTGCAACGTGCGACATTGCACCGATGTCAATTAGCCACCTGGCCGATCGATTCCCATCCATAGCAAAAACTGTAATGCTCCCGCTGGAACGAATCTTGGAATGACTCCCAAATAGGCAGCCCCATTTCATGTGAACCATCTGGTCGCAGTAATAGCACTTGTCTTCACACCGCCGTCCTCTCACGGCACGTAGCTCATGGGACCGCTTCCCCGTCTACCCCTGAGCGGCCCGTTGTTTCTAATAGCGCAAAAGGCTTTTCCGCGTCTTCCTTCCTCTATAATTTCTTCAAACTCATCAACAGCTTCCTTTTGAATTCAATTAGCATGAACACCAACTGCAGGCTGTTCAGAAGTACCACCAGCTGTCTTAATTTATCCACTGGCTCTCCTGCACGCATCCAGATGTCCCACATGCGAATGCCACTCTCCATCATAAACACAGCGAGATGACGTGTAATCGCTACACAATTGCGCACATCGGAACGACTGTAGAAATCGTGGAGCGTACTCCACACCTACAAAGCACGAGTAGCTGGCCGAATCGTGGTCTGGTGCCAAATTTTGACGCCCGGGCAGTAATACCCAATACCTTGGCGTCATTTATGTACCACCTCTCGATAATTTTGCTCTCATTCTTTGCGGCCATGATTTGCCCAGTAGCCCTATTCTTGCATGAACCATCCTTTTGTTGAGCTTCCAATGGTAGTATTTCCCATTACCCAGGGGCACTTCGGTGCGCTTTGTCGCCATGGTGGTGAAGGTGCCGTGAAGACAGGCATGGTTGCGGCTTTTAACCGGTAGAAAGGTGGCGAAAATAAAAAAAAATATTTCAGAAGGCTCCTGGGGTACTAGTCTAAGCTACCTTCAAGCCTACTGATTGTAACCTGATTTATCTTGACCAATAAACGACTGCTATTACGTCTGTAATCAATATGCATATCTATACCAGTAATCCCTGTAACGTCATCAGCACTCATTTAGCGATGATACTCCAACACTATGATAAGTATCAACAATGATTGATCAAGTGCTTCCGCGAGTGTTGTCGTTTCATTCCTAGGGATACATTTTTGTGACTCCAATTGGCCACAAGCTCAACTACAAAATTTACGTCTGAAGCCACCAGCCAAAGCATTCAAAGCGGTCAACGATCGCATATATATTGGCAAAACTCAAGTCTAGATGGCCAACAAAATCTACCAAAGTTGTCACATAATGAATGAGATGTAGTCTCAGCTTAAGTTGCGGGGTAGTAGAGAAGGGCGATCGCTTAACCCCAAAGAGTCACTGCAGACGTCACCAGTGACATAAATCGGTAAAATACAGTTTATTTCTGGGATGAAAACCACTGTTTAGCTAGCACCAACGGGTATACCGATGTGAAACTTAACGCACCGAACGCTATAATTGCTTGATCTAGACATCCGAGCGTCTCAAATAGTCGACAGCTAAAGCTAAGTCAAAGGCATCTGATGAAATAAAAAAGCACGGATTTGATGTGGATTTTTAGGGTGTGTCGATGAAGTTGTTCGACAACTCAGGTGTTGCTAAGGGGGCTTCGACCCGACTGTGAGATCTGCTGAAGACCGTAATGGTAAACTTCTGCTACATAGATTATCCCAGTATAACCTGTTTTTGTCAGCTTATTGTGCGAAGCGGTAAACTATGCATGTGTTTCAGCATGCGGATACAGATTTTGATTCACGAGCTGTAGCAAGAATTCACAAAGAAAGGTTGACTTCAGTCGAAGGATTGCAAATTGTCTCGTCAGAAGAGAAAGGGGGTCTCGGATCTTGGTCAAAAGATCTAGCAAGCATTTGATTACGAGTATTCACCATATGAGTTTATAACAACTGCCCGTGATGGTTAAAGCGTAATTGATGTAGTGATTGTTTTGTTTGGACACCTTTTGCTTTAACTGTGTCGAGCGAATATACATTATTATATGCTAAATCATTTCCACAGACAGCTCGGCCATTATTGTTGCGGGAAAGGTCCATATTATCGTGTCAACCTCATGCTCACGGATGACGATTTCGTTTGCAAATTGTGAGCAGAAAAAAGCAAACGTGAAACAGACAATCGGAAATAAATTTCAAAAGAAAAATTTGGATTGAAAGTGTAAAAGATGTCGGTGTCTCCATTTTCTTGACCTCTATGGCTGGATAAAACGTTTTGGCTAGACTGCTTATGATAAATTAAATTGATCATGTCACTTTAAAGAGCCATACTTAACCATTACATAAAGGAGGATACCTGTGGGACACATCACCTTCGACGTACATTGTGGGGTCAAAAATTAAGGGAGTCCAGTAAATTAGATCCGACATGCGCGTGTGATATCATTGGATAATGCCATGAATATCCTCTGTACTAATTGATACGGGATGGCAGATCCCGCCTTGGAATCTAAACTGGTGATGAGACGACGTGCCTTTACCATCATAAGTGAGTAGCATGGGCGCCGCTCACTTTGCGAGGGAACTTCCATGAAGACTTTAAGTACAAGTTTCTTGAGGTTCCTTCGAGTTCAGCCTCAGTGTATCGTTTATATATCAGGTTTGGCTTTAATTTCTGCATTTGCAAATTTTACAAACTCTAGGAAGTCCAATAGGTATATCCATATAGCTTCAGAAACGACGCTCATTTTTCATTTTAACGGAGTTTTGCGAATAGAAGACCTTCTACTATTACAAGCCCCCATCAAATTTTCGACAATGTTCTAGA